GAAGCGGGGGAGTGGCGGGACGGGGCGGGATAGGGGTGCCCCGCCCCGTTGCCATCCCTAGACGGGTTTGAGGTGATCGGAGGTGGATTGTGCTTGCGTGAGTGAAAAAAGAAGAATAAATTATGTAGTTGGATTTTAATAATGTTCATTGTATTTCTTAAAACTAATTTTAAGTCCTTGCATGTTAAGAAAATATTATGTTTTTTATTTTTTGTTTATGAAAGTATTCTTTTACGGTACATATATAATGATTCCAAAGGTAAAAATTTGTATTGTTACATTCATTCTTAAGTAAGTTCTGATTGTCTGCACACACATCAAACTTACGCAGGGATTCTGAAATCACGTCAAATTTTTTGTTTTCCGAGTTTATTTGAAAATTCATGGCTACAAGCCAGTGTAGGAACAATTTGTCTTCAAACTCAAACTACTGCGGGTTGCTCAGCATATTTAAGTTGAGAAGAAACCTTTTTTTAAATCTGTTTTTAGGTTCTTGTGGGTTGCCTCCTTGACAGGTGGTTTCAGTTTCAATCTACCTTCTTGATATCATAGCTGGTTTCGTGTGGATAAATTTGAGCTGAGACTTCATGGTTTATCTGATTACTATTTTTACTTTCTGGTTATAAGTTGATTTGTATATTACTTGTCACCAAGAACTTTATGCTTGTAAATCATTAAGTATCAAATGGTAAGTTCCAGAATATTTGGAGTTGTTTGTTACAGTGATAAACCGAAGCTTAAAATAAGTTTTTTGCTTAAAGTATATTTATCTTATTGTATTTTGAAGCCGTCCCTGTGTTTTATTAGCAAGAACAAAGAGTTTATATCAAGAGTTTCTATATTTCATTTTTCAGTCATTACTTAGAGGTAGGTTCTAAAGGAATGAAAGGCCTGCTGAGGAAGAGAGAGCCCCTTCAATGGCAGCTGGTGAACTGAATCAGTTAAGACAACGGCGCACGGTTTCTGGCCCAAGGTATGTTTAGTTAGGCAAGCCACGGACGGGAACTCATCTTTACTGGAAAATATTTTGTTCAGTTGACATGAGAAACACCTTCTCTTTTTTTATGTTGAGAGTAATCAAAATCATGCTTAATTTCAGATTTTTTCCTATCATGGAGATCAATAGAGAACAGAGGTCATGAACTGGAAAACAATTTCATAGTTCTATACGATTGAAATTGTGATGCCAGTACCGTGTAATGATGTAAAGGCATGGCTAAGTTCTTGACAATAAATAATAGCACGTGGACTCTAGTCGGGCACAACTCTCTCCCTGAGGATCTTTCTACGATGTTCCATTTCAATTCATTCCCATAAATAATCATTAAATAGTTTCAACTGCAAATGAGATGGGAAATTTTAAAACATGAAATGACATCGCATGATTTATAGTTGGGCCTTGAAACGTATCGATCCATTCTTTGATATTTTGGTATTTGGTTAGTTCTGTAAGCAGATACGTTGTTGTACCTGACCCTCACAAGTTTTTCAACTGACATGGGGTTGCCTAGTAAGGTACAAATATCAGTAATTCAAAACTGTTCATTAGTGAAAAAATCACTCTTGAAGCAACACAATACAGAATAAACTTGAATGAAGCTGTTAACTGTTAAGGCTTTGACAATTTAATTCCTTCATTTCTTAAAGACGGTGTTCTAGATTAAGAATTTCCAATAAAGTGCTTAGTTTGAGTTTCATGAAATCTGTGACGGTTGTGTGAAAATCATATATATTAATAAAAGTCCATTAATTGACTGGTTCCTTTTTTCTATTTAAATTTACCTGGCATTTACTGGTCTGACAGATGGTTACCTTTGCTTTAGTGGAAATTATCCTCTTTGAGTTATACTTTGGAGCTTGTCCTCATTCTATAATTTGTTCTTGGGAGAAGTGTTTATAATGCTTCTTTGGTGGCATTATAATCGGATGTCACACATTGGTCACGATGAGAGGAAACATTTACCGATTTTAATATGATTGCTCAATCCGTTTTATCATTCAAGGAAGGTTCCCACTCCAAATTAGAAAATATTTTTTGTGGTCAAGTGAGCAGCCATCCCGAAACCTCATCTAACAAGTACAAATGGGATGCAAGAAATGATCAAATTAATTCCAATCCTTCACTGGGTCTCCTCAGTCTACACTTCAGGAAAGTGACTTTCAACAAAGTCTACACTTCAGGAAAGTGACTTTCAACAATTACCCGATCTCATGAGAGATGTTGTGTATGTGGCTCATAAAAAGAGGGACACGGGTTTGCTAGAAGAAAAGGTCACAGGGGTATTTTCTTGTATGGGCCCTAAAGTCTTGCAGATGGAACAGGTCGCTGGAGGGGGAGAGCAAATAGGCAACAATCAGCCTATAATGAGTTAAATGGATGGAGAGATGGCACTTTGGAAGAGAGAGAGAGGAATTGGCAGAGGAAAATCCAGTACCTAATGGGACCTCAGCAGTGGCAATAAATGAAGGTGGAGAGCTAGGTCAGTTTCTAGAAGCCCAAGGTGTATGGCGTTGTGATGGTTCTCAAGCAGTTGTGGATATTTGGTTGGAAGAACCTTCAGACCCTCCAAGAATGCGGCGATCTGTACCGTATAGAAGAGTTGAGAGGTTTCACCCGCCTGATGATGATAATGTGTACAGCATGGAACTCAGGGAACTTCTAAGCAGGTTATTGTCTCAATCTATATCGAGCCTCACACTTTTTCAGGCTTATTGTCAACTTACTGAACTTTGTGTTGCAGGAGTGTCTCCAATCTTTTGCATTGTGGTTTCCGTGAAAGCCTGGATCAGTTGATTCAGTCATTAGTAGAAAGGCAAGGTAGGTCTCTTATTGGCTGGGATTTGCAAAGGAACTTGCCTCTTTCACCATTGCCAGAGAGGGATCAGGAGCAGCTGGATGAGGTTCAGCATCATGCTATTGGTAGACCTTCATTGGTATTACCATCTCCTCCAGTACCGGCCCCTCTACCTCTTTTGTTCTTATTTTGTTCCCTGCTATGGTGGCGTTGTTTATTGTTGAGTTAGATTTTGGGTTTCGTGGTTATTTCTTCACTTGTTAGACAGTAAAAAGCTTGCACTTGTGCTGATGAATGTGATTGGAGTTATAGACGAGTTGAGCCAAATAATGGGCGTGTGTCCTTGAAAGTTTACATTGATGAAATAGATAGTGTTCAATCTCCAATTGTAAAAAAGAAAATCTGAATTTTTCCTGTATAACACATGCTGGGAAAGTTCTTTGGTATCCAAGTATAATAGTAGACTATGATTTAATCAGAAGCAACTCTACTTTCCAAATGCTTGCACTGAAAATTTGTTTATTTTGGGACTCATGGCTCCTTAAAACAGCAAGTCTTTTATCATCGTTTAGAAACTGGTTGAGATACGAGTTATACGATGTGTTAAGTTATGACTTCAGTTTTACAAATTTTTTTGATTGTTCAATATCAAGACTCAATCTCTTCTATCTGTTTTATATTGGGCTATGTAAGCAGGAGCGGAGGATTAGAATGATGAGATTAGATCGAACTTTCTAAAATGATGAGACTAGATTGCCCAGCAACTGTTTCGGAATTTTATGTATTATTTGTGGAATATTTTAAGCCAAATACTTTCTCCCTCCTCTACCCCCACCCTGAGGCTTGCATGTGCTTCGCACTCGCAAGCCCCTGTTTGGCCCCCATTATTTTGCATTTTTGGGGGTTGAAAATTTTTAGAATAGTGATTGATGGGAGAATGTGTAGTTGAAATTGTTTTGATTTGTGAGTAATATTATTTTATTTGATGAATGCGTGGTTGAAATGAAGAGAGAGAAACATTTAATGTAATGTAATGTAATTTAATGGGGCCCAAACAAGGGCTTAAACACGTCTGAGAATATTAACATGTAATTTATAATTTTTAGCAGGAGTGGGAGATGATTAATGATCTGAAAGCAGATGTAGCAAAACTTCAGCAAGGCATGAACCACATGCAAAGGATGTTAGAAGCGTGCACAGACATGCAACTGGAGATGCAACTCTCAGTCCGACAAGAAGTCTTAGCTGCTTTTAATCGATCAGCTGGTGAACAAGGTCGGTTTGCACTTTTACTTCAGTTTCTCTGAGTGAAGATGATAATGCTGTTGCTGGCCCTTTCATAATTTTGTACTTCTGGAGTACATTTCCTCGTTACTACATCCCTATGTTGTTCTATTGTTCATTTCTAACCATCCACTTATACATACTTGCAGGGGTTGTAGAGACTTCGGAGAATGGGTCAAAATGGGGTCATGTTTGAAACGGTTCCTGCTGTATTTGTTGTGATAACCATATCAATTCCTTGATTTACAGGTTGGGTGACTAGCACAACGGATGTGTAATCTTTTACCAGGATTCCCTGTATTTCTTTTTCCTTGAGCTGTACCCTTTTTTGATGTACATTTTGATCTCTCTGTGCCTACAGGTGCGGGCACATGTGCAAGTGTTCTAACTGTGCAAACGAGTTGGTTCGTAGAGGAAGAAAGTGTCCACTGTGTTGGGCACCTACAGTGGAGGTGATGAGAACATACTCGATACTGTACAAAGAGACAACATTGGAGCTATCTTATTTGTGTTTGGAGCTCCTCAGTTGTTTATGGAGTGTTCAGTGTTTCTGATTATTAGCATATTTGGGTTTGCTGCTTTCCTAAAATTGCAACATTGTCGTCTTATTTATTTGTAAATAATATCAAGTTATTTATGGAAAACACAGCTAGATTGCCAGCTTGTCTTTGAAATCCGTAGAATTAGAAAAGCGGGTCTGTTTAGAGTCCAAAATTTCGAATTTTCGATTGCGTGAATTGAAAACTTTTTAAGAGTCGCTTAGATTTCTAACCGTATAACAAATGTTCATTCGATTAGAAATATTAACATAAAATGCGACCAAACTAAGTTTTAGAAACCAAACAAATTTACAGAATATTTATATGTATCCTCATTTATAAGAAATTTACGAAAAAGAAAATATACCAAATCTTGATTATCTTTCTTTAATTGTCACTCATTTTTGTTGTATATAATATTTGTGAATGATTTTTATATTGTAGTCTTAATTCTTCTCTATGAATAATTAAATATGAGGTTTTTGATTTTTTATAAAACACAGGTGAATTTTTTTTCCCCTCCTCTAGTTAAGCCCCCGTTTGAGCCCCATTTTTCTCATTCCATTACATTAATTTTTTCTCTCTTTTCATCTCCACCACACATTCTCAAATAAAATAATATTACACACAAATCTAAAACTTTTCTACCACATATTTTCCCATTAATCACTATTCTACAAATTTTCAACCTCAAAAAATGGGGGCCAAACAGGGCTTAAATAAAATATTTTATTCGTAAATTAATTTTTTTTTAATATATTTTTTAATTAGGCGACGCACCTTCTTCGAAAAGTTATTATTCAAAGCCAGCAAACATAAAATTGTAGACTAGAGTCTCGACGTCCTCTCTCGTCCCCCCACGCCACCCCACCCCACCCCACTCCCAGAGAATACTGAATAGCATTTTCTTCTTCAGTACCTGTTAGTTTTAACTCGATGGCGAATCCCAAGGCATGGCGAATC